AATCTTGGTTGCCTACGACAGCACACCACCAATTCGTCTCAAAAGTCAAAAACATTTTAGAAAAAAACCTAGACACGTGTCACCAACTTATATTTTCTAATATTGTTAAAAAGGTAAAAAAAATATTAGAAAGTAGAAATTTTATCAGTTGTAGAAATTCAGTTTGCTGGGACGGAAAGTCAAGAAACACTAAACTTACCAATCCTGCATACCGACTCAATATCCTGATTGACGTGATAGGTAGCCTCAGTCCAATCATGTCTCACTCCGTGTGAGTTAGGATATCCATTCGATATACAAAATCGATAAGTGTAGTCTTATCCTTAAAAACTATGGTTAAGATCAATATTCTGAAACCCGGACCAAAAGGTGACTCGGTCGAGTGACCGGTTTCCAGTCTAAGTGATCCAACCGGTTTGACCGGCAGGTCAGACCAATGATGTCATCAAATATTATATTTTAATATTTATTTTCTAACATGCCATTTCATCTTTCTCTTTGTTCTTTTCTCCTTCATTTTTTTTCACGCTCTTTCTTTCCGTCCTCTCTTTCTTCTTTATATTATATATTTTCTAAATGTCACCTCATCTTCTCTTTCTTCTTCTCTACTTCATCCTTTTTTTTTTCCCTCTTTCTCGCCGTCTTTTCTCTTTCTTCTTTACTTCTTCCATATTCTCTTCTATTTTCTCACCTCCTCTTCTCTTTCTTCTTCTGCATCTTTTGAAGACTTGAAGGCTGAAAGTTAAAGCTTGAAGGAGATCGCAAATGGAGGAGAACTAGACTGGAGCCTGAAGAGGTTGATTGAAGAGGAGGAGACCGCAATAATTGAAGAGGACTTGAAGAGTGAAGACATGAAGGCTAAACCGCTGAAGCTGAAGCTTGAAGGAGATCCGAGATCGCGAATGGAAGAGGAGGACTGGACTGGAGATATGGAATGAAAAAGTAGCAACCCAAAAAAAAAAGCAAAAAGCAAATTTTTCAAATGGCTGACAGCTCTCAGCTCAACCGCAAAAGCAAATTGAAATGTATTAAAAAATTTGGGGATTTGACACTTTGACTTTGTGTTTGTGGTTTTAAATTTTTTTCATATTTTTAATCAGTGGATAGAATTTTTTTGTTATACCAGTTGGACCGTCAGTTTGTCACAATATGACGATCCTACCAGAGTTTGAAACGGGTTGATACAAAAATCCGGGTTTTTACTCTTTTCAAACCGGAAATATAAGCGAAACCCGATCAGACCGATTCGACCGCCCGATCCGGGTTTCAGAACATTGGTTAAGACGACTCTTTGTTTTTTAAAGGATTTGGTGATTGCAACTTTGATTAATTTTACACAAATTTATAACTACTAATATTAATGTAAATTAATATGATTTCAATAATAATTATATTGACACTGAGAATTCACATTTTCATTGTGCTTGTAACATTTTGTTCCCCGAAATTCTCCCCCGTCTAACATTTTGCTTTCTTTTCTTTTATATTTATTTTCCAGAAATCTACTTTAATAAATTTCACGCAATTTTACTAAAACCAGTTTCGTTAACTTTACTATTTTTATAAAATCTTGCTTCAAATTTTTTTAAAATTATCACAATTTTTTATGAAATTCATTAACACCAATCTAACATTTAATATTCTGCAAAGTTTATACAAACCAACCAAATAAAATAAAAATTCCAAAAATTTGACAATAATTAATCAAGTATTTCTAACATAAAACTAAGATTAAACTTTCCTGTTTTACAATTCCAGTGTTTTACCAAATTTTCACACAAAAATGATAATAATAATAATAATAATAATAATAAAGAAATAAACCTCAACTCAAAAGAGGAACCGTATAATCGCCGTGATCATCAGCATCATCACCAACATCACAATCGTACATAGATCCAACAAGCATCAACTGATCTTCCAAGTACCGTTGTAACAAACCCACTTCCCTTTCATCCTCAAATTCACATCCACAGCAACCCTCTTCACATCGCCGTAGCCTCTCTTCATCTTGACGTTTTCTTCTTCTCCAGAATCTGATAAATACTTCGGCGGCGCACAGAAAGGGGAAACACGCGCAGAGGAGAGGGAGGAGAAGGGGTGAACAGAGTAAGAGAAACAAGTATCGGCTCCGTCTCGAGCGGAGCCATGAGCCGATGGCTACAGCCAACATGGAGGAAGAAGCGGTGGCCGGGTCATGGCGTGAAGGGGAAGGGGTTGGAGTTCGTGGAGAGGGTTGAGTTGGGAGTTTATCGTAGTTTAAATTGGAGGTAGGTGAAAGAGAAGGAAAGGCACATGGGTCTGGATTTTTATACACGGGGACCATGTGAGCGTGGAGTGTGAAACTGTGAATCCAAATGATACAACTTGATGCTTCCTTTGTTAAATTTTAGTTTTATTTTGTGTTTGTTTTTCTGGGTACAGGTATTTTGAGGAAATTTAACTTGACAGACCTCCCAAATTTGCATCTAAAAAAAAATGACCTTGAACAAATCTTGCAATTTTTTTTAAGTTAGAAAAACTGACCTGCCAGACTTAAAAGATTCATTAAACATGTAAATCAGGTTAAACTAAAAATATTTAAATATATGTGGGTAATATTATAATTGACGGAAGTTTGTTAAAATTTTGAAAATAAAAAACGACCCCCTCCCTTCATAATCTTTTAATCGAGCAATATATCCAAAAAATGACCGACGAAACACTTTCGACTTCTCTACAATTTCTCGAGATAAAAGTTCTCTATTTCCAGCCAATATTCGATTCTAAAGATTCGTTACACAAAATCAAGGCTAATATTCACAAAGAGGAGGAAAACCCAACCCCACTCCAAATCTTAGACTCCAACGGCGACGGTTGTTCAAAGGTTGTCGAAGAAGACACTCCGGTGGATCTTTCGATGAGTCAAGGTGGTCCAGAGGCAGAGGAGACAATGGCGGCACAAGAACAGAGAGAAGAATCGAAAAATGGTTCTAAAGAGGAGGACGTCAGCGATAATTTAGGCGAGTAGGAGGACGCTAGTGAAGAAATGGTACGTTTTTTACTGGTGGTTTTGAATTTGATGAATAATTTGATTGGCTTGTGCGAATTTAAGGGATATGTAGTTGGTTTTATTGTTACGGTGGTTGTGGCATTTTGTCGAGTAGTTGGCGGGCATCGAGAGAGTGGCTTTGTTTGGGTTCCAAAGAATAGGGGAAGGCAAGGGAGGCCGTAAGGAAGTTGTTTATGGGAGGTTGGTGGGATAGGGATGGCAGGAGGTGGTGCAGCCCCTCCTCTTGCAGAGCAGCCCTCCAGCCCCCCTATTCCACCACCTCCTGCCATCTCCAGTCATAGAACCTCCCACAATAGCCTTTATAAGGCCTGCATTGGCTTCATCGGTCCTCTCGAAGCCAAAAACACCCACTCCCCGATCCCCTCGAAGCCCATATCCCCCAAATTGGCAGCCTACAGGTTGTTTTGGTTTCTTTTTTTTTTTTGCTGATATTTAGTTTATATTGATTGTGCAGATTTTCCAAAGCGTAAATTATAAAGACTATGGGTTGGAGGTTATAAGCGATAAGGTACTGTACCTCCCTGTAAGGGTGACAGTTAGGTCGAGTTGGCAAGTTTTTATGAGAATAATGGAGATTTTAGAGGAACAAAAAAAGGGTATGGACCAATTTAAAGAGAGTTGTTTCGGTCATTTTGCAGACATTGGAGAAAATTGGAAAAAGGCATTCTAGGGCCAAAGAGTGCATTATATGTTGCTACACTCAATGAAAAGCCAAAAAAAAAAAAAAAATGAAATGTGGTTTGTGGTGGATGGGAAGTCACTACGTTTTTGGATGATGGAATATGCCTTGATGACAAGTTTAAGATGTGGGGCATTTCTAGATGTGGAAGAGCAAGAGAGAATAACGAAGAGTATGGCAGTCGATAACTTGGCTAAAAAGGTTTTGGGGGGAAAGGCGTCTATTACGGGATGCGATTTAGAGGAGAGGTTAGGAGAAGATGGGTATACCTCTTCAGAGAAGTTCAGTTCAAGATGTGTTTAGTATGGTTCGTGCATTCGATCCTAATGGCTTCTGACTCAACAAAAGTCGTTAATATGGATTGGGTGAAGTTTACAAGCAACATGGACTTCTTTAATGCTTATCCATGGGGACAGGTATCATTTCAGCTAACCATCGACTCCCTGCGTGGAAAAGACATGGTGATAAAGCATCGTCAAGCTGTCGAGAAGGATAGACCGAGCACGTACAATTTGTTTGGCTTCCCATGGGCAATACAGGTAAATATTAATAGCTTTTTGTATTAAAGGATTAATCTTTTGAATATGCACTTGCTTTTAAATGTGGCTTAAATTTGATTGATTTTTTTCTTATTGCAAGGAGTCGTCTGTCCCTTCCTCACCCCTACTAGGGGTGAAGCGGGATAGGAGTATGTTACATCATTCAGAGCATTAGACGATGCAGCAGATGAAGAGATAGACTACCTAATGCGGGACCTAGAAGGGGTCACACATGTGAGTGCAGCTGCAGGGCCACTGCTTAAGAATGTTGTTGAGGTCGAGGATGATGAAGCTCCAATCAGCGGGAGGGAGGAGGAGGAAAAGATTCGTACGCCTCTACCCAATTGGCAAACTAGTGCAACAAGACCGCTTTGCCAAGGCGTCGGGGTCAGGAGAATGAGGTGGTTGACCTCATAAACGGTATGTTTGAGAGTTTTACAATAGCCGTTTATGAGAATTTGAGAAGATGAAAGAGCGGATGAAAAAGGTGGAGGAGAAAGTTGATAGAGTGGAGAAGAAAGTTAATAGGGTGGCCGAGGAACTTGGTGGGGTATTGAAAGTAGTTGAAGTGAAACCTAAGTATAAAAGAGAAAGCTGAAAGAGTAAGCACGTAAAATCTCCTTACACGGTAGTAACATATGGAAAGAAGAGGAAAACAAAGAAAAAAATGAGGAAGTCCATGAAAGTGGAAAAGCAAAAATGGAGGAGGGTAAGGATGAACGCGAAGGAAGTGGGGAAGTGAAAATTAAGGAGGGTGAGGCTGGACGTGAAGAAAGTGGGGAAGTGAAAATAGAGGAGGGTGAGGAGGAAGGCAGAGGAAGTGGGCAAGTGAAAAATGAGGAGTTAAAGGTCGATTTGTATAAGCCAATAGATAAGGAAAAGAAAAAAAAAACTCTTCTATGCCTATTACAATGATTTTGGAAGTGATAGGTGATGAGAATGCAAAATGTCATATTTAACCCCCTTAATGTTTAGTCTTTTATACATATTTGTTTCCTAATTGTACTCATTATTACTTTATTTTGGTTTAGGAAGCAAATGGAGGTGTTAATTGAAAAACGGAATTAATTAGGGGAATTCGGACAGTTTCGCCACTGCTTCGTATTCTGGGCATAATTCTCTCATCCGAGCTCCGATTGAGATGATTCAAAATGCTGTGGAACGCTAAGACAATCTATCTACAATTTTATGTTTTGATTTTTTAGAGATAGGCTGAATAAAGGTTGTAATCGAGCTTAAATTGATGCACATGCATTGCCGACGTCCTGGAGCGTTCTGATTGTTATGCAAGTCAGTTATTATTGCACGTTTTGAAGACATACATGCTGCACGAAAATTACAGCTGGAAACACCGCTTTCCTATTTTATTAGGACTCTATTTTATTTTATTTCAATTAGAATTAAATTAGGATTATGGTATTTTAGGATAGGAGAATATTTCTTTTAGGAGATTGAGTGGGATTCGAATTCTAAAATTGGATTTAAAAGGGAGATAGATTAGGTTTAAGGCACCAAGCCTCTCTCTCTTTCTCTCCGGAATTTTTTCTTTCTTTTGAGTTTGGATTTGGCCATGAGCAGTTAAAGCTTTTGTAACTTGGTCATAAAAAACGGAGACCTCAGAATCAACCAACTGTGAGATCTAATCTATTTTATTTTAATGTTCAAATTTGTGTTTTGAGTATGAATGTTATTCTGTGCATATCTCATGATTGATGCAATTAATACTAGGAGGCCTATAGTGTATTATTTGTTGCAATCTACTGCTGAGTTTGATGTCAAATCCGTAATTGTTTGATCCCTCTAACTTGTGAAGCAATTAGGGTCAATAATTGCTGCGTCAGGAATTAATAATCTTAAGAAGAACATTCAACTAAATTAAATACAACGCTGTGTGTTGTGTGTTTAGCTTCATCGATTTCTCTAATTCTTAAGGCCGCCATTAGATTAAATCTTGAGGCTTGTCTAGGGTTGTTTAGTGGTAAGATTAATTAGATCGCTTGTTTCCTAATTAATTACGATTAAGGAGAGATAGGAAAATAGTTCCAACGGTGAATATTCAGGTATGAATTGATTTAATTTTGCATCAATGATCAGTTGTAAGATTCCGATGGTGGATGTTGACGGAGACCAAGTTTCGTTATATTAATTGATTTCGATTTGAATTGTTTTTGTTTTGATTTTTGCTAAGATAGTTTTCTATTTTACTCAAAACCCCCCAGCCTTATTCACATCATCAAAAATTCGGCTAGACACTCTTCGTGGGATCGATCCTTGCTTACCCTATTTACAGTTCAGTAGTTAGGTTAGGAAGGTTTTTAATCTTGGTTGCCTACGACAGCACACCAATAGGCGTGTGAAGTGCAAGATCGGGGATTATCCCCGGAAGTGGTTTGAAAAGATGTTGACAATGGGTAGGTAGCTCGACGACTCGATCAGTTATTTTCCCTTATTTTTGCTTATGTGTTCCACGAGGTACCGTATAGTTATCATGTTGTTTTTACTTGATGTAGCACATTGATGAGGTATTGGCACTTATGAGGCTACGACAGAGCAGTAATGGTGATATTTTTTATCCGCACTATGCCATCACTGATGTGGCCTTTGGCCAAAGGCTAGTAACTACATATGATACTTTAATAAAAAAAGGCCAATGATGGAGGTGCAACAAAGGGAGGCAAACAGAAAAGATTGGCCATAGATGACTTCGACAGTGTCCTTGATGATTTTTAATTTGATGAAAGGATGATGTAGTATGTACGGGGGGAAAGGCCCAAATATGGCAACAGTTAGGAAAACGTTAAAAGAGTGTATTGCATCAGAACATCAAGGATATGCATTGGATAACCGTCGTTTGGGTACTAGAGGAGGGCTTGCTGCAGATCCTTGATTGCAACCTGAGTATTTGTCGAGAAAGGCAATTGGAGACGGAGTTGCAGCCGCTATGTATATTGTTCTCACAGCTGTTGCGCGATAGCAGGATGTTTCAAAACTTAGGTGATGAACTACTGACATGAAAGTGGCAACTCAAGCGCCTTCCTGTCCTTTATTAAATGACTCGAGGTAAATTTTGTATAAAAATTACATAATACAATTGTTCTACAAGC